CTATATGAATAAATAAATAAATCTTTAAAAAACAAACAAACAAACAAAACACCCATAAACCATCTGTTTAATCTTTATCCATTTTAAAACTTTTGACTGATCTTATTAAAAATTTAAAATTCAAACACAGAAAAATACAATACTCAAGTCTATTTACAACAGAACTTTCATAGGTACTACTAGGTATGGTCGAATGTAAATTTTGAGGCACCATGGCATTAGCTAAGTGATTATCATGCCTGACCGTGCATCACTGATTGATTTTTAGGCTGAATGAAAACAAAAATGGATTCAACCAATAAAAATGTCCAAATTGGTCACAGACACAATGGTATGTACACCAGCAAATGGCAATTAGGCTACAGAGGTAGAGGCTGACAGGATGTGATGATGAATGAGAGCAAAAAATAAATTATCCATGGCTAGCAATTGCTAATAAGTTAATAAGAAGTAAGGATATTAATATATTTTCAAAATGTCTACGTATAAGAGGGAGGATAAAAGAGGTAGAAGATAGGAATCAGGTTTTGTCAAAGGACCCAAGCAGAACATTTTGGAGAAACAAAGCTTGCTGCAGGTACGACTTCTACCTGGGACCTGTTACCTGTTACAGGGCTGAGGTTAGACAGTGGAATGAATCCAAGGCCAGAACTATGTGTACTAAGATGAAGTTGTATTATCAGAAACTAAAAGTTGTCAATAATACACTGAGATCCAGGCTGTAATGGGGTCCAAACTGCAGTGAGGATCCACTACAGGGAATATCTCCGAGGCTTCCATGAGAAGGCTATGACTGAGAGGAGGAAATTAACCCCTAGGACGGAGCACACAACTGTTTACTTATTTACTTATGCTGGGACTTCAGCTCTTGTCTGCTCCCTGGCTTGTGGAAACTGCTTGTATGCTTCCAAGTTTAGGGTTACCAAAGGTCCAGCTAGAAAACTGGAGTCCCTAAACTGCACTTTACAAATTTCCATGATGCCCCAAGTCCCTGCTGTTCACTGACCCCAGAAAACTCCCTTGCTGGAGGTCAGAGGTCTGCCCAAGGAGGTGACCCTCCAGCTTGCTGTCTGTGCAGTAGATCCTGCGTCCTTTGGAGTTTATGGTTCTTTCTCATTTCCCAGGAGTAGCCTTGCTTTTTCAGATGCAAGCAGCCTTTGTCAGAGACTGTGATGAAGTTCCCATGAACCGAGAGGGGCTCTCCTGTGGGAACACAGCTCTGGCCCACAGCCGACTCTGGTCCCTTGATGCTCCCTCCACAACCAGGGTGCAGTTCTTCCTCGTTAAGACCTTCCTTCCCGGGGAAGTATCTCTCCTTCGTGCAGGAGTCTTAATCCTTAGGCTTGGGAGGTGGTCTCTGACCTCAAACCCCTTTCAGTTTCTCTTGAGAGAGACTCAGGAATAGGAACATCCCGGAGTTCTGAAGCAGAAATGAGAAGGTTGCATTAACTCTGCCAGGCTACACTTATTTTAAGGTAGAGGCCCCTTTTTAATTCCTCAGGCTCCTTTGGAAAGCATTGTTTGCTTTAGAAAATCATTATGTCTCAAAAAATAGAAATGACTAACTTTAAGTATGACCCTTGCAAAAGGTCTAAATCTGTCCTGGGAACTAGGGTAACAAGATCGAACAAACCCGTGCAAAGAATTTATAGTCTCATGTGGCCCAGGGACAAATAAATAAATGTACAGTCCCAACAAAGAACGGAACGAGACATTTCTTTCCTTAAAAAGTATCCAGAAGTCCCAGGATAAGGTTTAAGGTCTCCAGCACTGTGAACAAGGCCTTGGTGAGGTTGTTCCACCCATCTTTCCAAATGCTTCTTCACTCACAAGTTACTAGTCTCCATGGCCTTCTGTGACTTGGTTGTCCTTCCTTTGCCTTGTGTTATGACTAATTTTATGTGTCAATGTAAGTGGCAAGGGATGCCCTGGTAGCTGGTAAACTATTTCTGGGTGTGTTTGTGGGGCGTTTCCAAGAGAAATTATCTAGCACTGTGGTTGGTGATTCAAGTAAAGATGGATCATCCGATCTGTCGAGGCTTGATCTCCAGAAGGGGAGCATTCATTCTCTTTGCTTGAGCTGGCACATCTACTTTCTCCTGCACTCAGAAGTGGGAGCTCGTGGTTTTGGGCTTTGAGAGCCAACTGTTATTTATACCCTCAGTCCCCAAGTCTTAGGTCTTTGGCCTTGGAGTGAATTACACCACAGGCTTTCCTTGTTCTCCAAACTTGCAATCGGTGCTTGCTATGTATGTTTAAATATTCCATAACAGGGCTCTTCCTGGTGGTGCAGCGGGTTAAAGCACAGCACTGAGAAGCTAAAGCCACTTCTGCACGAGTTCCATCCCGGCCCGGGAGCTGACCCACATGGCGCGGCAGACCTCTCCTGACCCGCCCGCTGCTCCCCTCAGCAGTGTGCTTAGTCCATCTGCCTGTTCTGCTCCCCACTCTGTCTCTGGTAAATCCTCTCACCACACCTGCACCTCTGGCCTGTACCCCAGCCCTGTGTGCATAAATAAATCTTTAAAAAAAAATTCCGTAATATGGTCCCATAATAGCTCTCTTCTAACAGCCCTCTTCTCTACATGCCTGCAACAAACCTCCTCTTCTGCATATCGCTAAGCAGCCTACGGGTTTTGTTTCTGTAGAGGACGCGGAGTGACACACCTGAATGCCTTTCTGCTTTCCGACCGCGAGCTCCTGGTGCTGCCATATCACTGGCCTGGTGATGCTGTCTCAGACCCTCCCGCAAAGGACTAGAAATTCCCTCTGTTCTGCGGCCACTTTGTCCATTCTTCATGCATTCGCCTCGTGATGATTTATTTGAAGTCTTGCTGCCTGGAGAGTCAATGAGCTCCTTCAGAGCGAGCTATTTATAGTCCCCGTGCGGAGTAGACACTCAAAAAGATGTTTGTTTATGAATAAGACAATAAATAAACAGATGCCTGAAGTCTTGCAGGGGTAATTGTTTGTTCAGGTTTACATGGGGTTGTTAGGTGACCAAGGGAGGGAACCGGCGGCCAGAAGATCTTGGCTAGGAAGGTGGAGAGGACATCAAGGCGAATTTAATCTTCTTATTAATTTCACCTTGGATTTTCTCTGCCTAAGGGGTTGTCTTATGTGGGAAAGAATATCAGGTGAAGCAACCTTTGATCATTCACCCTTTATAGGTATTTCTCAGGAAGCTCCTACTCCACATGACCCAAATCTTGAGTTAGGTAGTAGTCAGATTTGGATTTCCAAATTCACGGTGTAATTTATTTAATTCTAATATAATAATACTACCTTACATCTATATGGAATCTTTCATCTTCAAACCTCAAAGCATTTTCTAAGTATTAATAGACTTCAATAGCCTTTGGCTATGATGCTTCTGGACCCATTTCTCTCCCGGGTAAGGTTATGATAGAGAGTTAATTAACTTGCAAGAGGCTGTATAAACCATGTTATGTTTTAGAAACACTTTCCATTATGAAATATCTCACACACGTACAAAGGAAGACACAAATGTATAATGTGCACATGTACACTTTTGGCTAATCTTATTTCACCTACCCTCCCCTGTTATTTTGAGATTCATTTCAGGTATGATGCATTTCTATCCATCAATATTTCACTATCTCCAAAAGATATGTACAGTTTGGACTGGAAAGGAAAGTGCCAGGTTCTCCCTTTATTTACTAATTTTCAAAATAATGTGTCGTTTCTTTTGCATCATCCAATAACAACTAATTACTGAAATATAACTGCCATAATTTTCTTGCATTTAAAATGTGCAACCTGATGACTTGACAAATCTACCTGTGAAATCATCATGGTTATGAAAATAAACATAGTTCTTATGAATTAGACTTTGAAAGTATTTTATAAACTGGCAAATTTAAATATGCTGATATTCTCCATTGCCTTTGTTATTATTAGTTTTGTTGTTGCTTATCCTTAATTATTATATCTGAAGCGCTGGTGATTTCACTTTGGGAGTTTGTTGGAGTCATTCTGTGGCCCTTTGAGGACTCTCAGGAGTCCTTGCTAATTTCCCGCCATTCTGCCATGGCAAGATGCGCCAGGTCTGACTTCAGTCCTTTCTCCAAGGAGCCTCCAAGTCATTTGAATGGGAAACAGGATGTGTCATAAATTACAAGGTAATTAAACACAGCAGCAAAATTCAATAAAAAATTTGGTCTGGGCTCACTGTAGTAAGAACGTGATAGCTGCTGTACCAAGCAAGTCCATCATGGTATCTTCATTTGTGTATTTCCTTTCATTGGAGTGTTCAAAGCAATTTTACATGAGTAAATCCATCTTTGGAGCAATATAAGGATAGGGAAAGAGTTCAGAGAGATTATTGTCATATTTTATAATTAGGGTGACAGATGAAATTGTAGCTTGTAGAATACTGGGGGCAAGTTTGAATCCAATCTAGGTTCTGTCCTGGCTGTAACAACTTCAGAAACCATTTTTTTTTTTTTTTGAGCTTATGGTTTGATGAACACATGGAGATTTGTAGAGAATGATGGGCAGCAAGGAAGCTCTGTGCCTCTTCCCCATGCTTCCACCTATGGAGCTCTTCCATTTGACTGTTGATTTGGTTCAAGAAGAGGAGAAATGTCAGCCATCTTGAAGCCAGGAGGGATGGACCAGAGTGGAAAAGACAGACGTGTTGACCAGTCTCTGCTGATATCTTTCCTAGAACACCCAAGGATTCCTGGCCTGCCATGCAAGCCTATGACTTGCCAGCTCGGGCCCTGTGCCCATCTCTGTGTTTCCCACATGTGGCTTGCTTCACATCTTCACACCCCCATGTCAAAAATGCCAGTCTTCTCTCTGTGACCACACCTGCCATACAAGTCCCCTCCAACACCTTCACCCACCAACCTTCAGTGCCAGCTTCCTTGCCCAATCCCCCAGGTCCTTGGTAACAGTCTCCTCATGTGTCTCCACTGCCAAAGGCTGGTGACACCTAGGATTGGGTCTCCTCTCCAAGCTCTGCACTTGTTAAGTCTCAATCTAATCTCCTCACCCACCTCTGCAACACCGGTCTCCTTGCCTCTAGCCACGGTGACAGCTGTGATGCAAAGCCATTCAGCCACTACACAGGTCACTTCTCTCACAACATACAGAAGTTGGTCTCCTTTCCTGTCTCCACTCAGGTGTACCCCAGCGCCATCTTTTCCTGGTCAACCAGTAGTGGTGTGACATCCACGAGGCTCCTGCCTTTGCTGATCCCTACCCCTGCATGCCGATCTCCTCCCTGTCCCCTCCTGACAGTGGCAGGCTCTCATATCCTCCTCCCACTCCCAGTTCAGGCCCACATCCATCTCCTCATAGTCCCCACTCCCCAGACACCCACAGGCTGATAGCTTCTCCATGCCACACCATCTCCAGGGAAACATTTCTCTGACCCTGTAATCTAGATCTTGCTTATTATCAGTGCTTGTTTACTTAGAATTTGGCACAATTTCAATACTCCTGTCTTGTGCATTCAGACTCACAATTCAGTTCAACTCCTCAATAATCTTGCTCCTTCAAGATTGGTGGGTACCTTTTACTCATCACACCACAGGTAGAATGTGTGTGTGCTCAGCTCTCAGTACTTCTCTAGTTGAAAGATCCCAATTTACACGCTGCCTTGATGTAAGCACCCCAACTCCCGACCCCTGCCCACAGCCTACAACCCCTTCAACGAACCAGGAATCCAGAACCCATCAGGCTCAATGGACCTCATGAACCAGTGGAGTTAGAACTCCAGCCACCCACAGGGCAGAGAAAGCTTGCCCCTTTTAGTCCCCCCACATGAGTGTGCAAGCTACATGACACCCTGCACGATCTTTGAACAGAGAAAGCCAGTCTCAAACCTCTTCTTCCTCAATTGTTTTTTTTCTTCATATAATCTTGCCACCCCAAGAAGATTATATGAATGAAGTACATGAAATGTCTTAGAGTCATTACATATCATCTATTGTTGTATTTTAATGGATTTAATATTGTATAGATTGTGTTCAGTTCGATATGCCTTCCTGTTCCCCAGACCTTCTATGGAATACGAGAACATCATTTTGCACAATGAGTGTGAAAGCATCTCTAATACCCTCAGCTATGCTTGAACTGAAAAGGGGTCCCTGCCTCCACCTATGGCACCTCCAAATACCCACCATTTAGCTGGCATTCTGCTGGAGCCCATTTGATCTAAGTATTTTTATTTCCATCTCTTCCCCTGCTTTCATTTTCTTTCCAACCAATGACAGCTCTTCCAATTTTCAAAAAATGTTGGTTCCTGTTATTTGTGTGAGCAATTTCATTCAGTCAAGTCCTGTTATTTGGACTTTATCACAAGAGCTTATGTTTTCAATGTACACAAGCAGAATTGTATTCTAAGTCTCCTTTTGTTGATCTTTTGAACACCACTTTTTTTTTTTAAACAAAAAGCTTTAAGTGATGGGAGGGAAGGTGGGAAGTTTCTGCTTTCTTTTTTATCTCCCTTAAAATTTTTTTTCTTATGGGTGTCTGAAGGAATCGGAAGTTTATGAAGAGTGGGATGAAAAATTAGGAAATTACAGAATCCTGGGCTTTGAAGAGGCTCAGTAAAGCAAGCAGGCCTGCCCATCCCCCACCCCCTCCCCATAGCGCTACTTGGGCTAAATCTGGACAAATGGGCAGCTCTCGTTTTAGAAAGATGCAATGAGGTATAGTCCACGTGAACTAAATCAGTTGAGAGTTACAAAAGCAAGGTCCAAAATAGCAGCTTTAAGTTTATGAAAGTGAATCCAAGTCTTAAGTGCTTAGGGAGAAATAAAGGACTACGACGAATAAACAGACACGCGAAGCCAACAGCAGCCATGTGGGAAGCGAAAGGGCTTTCTTTGCAAACAGCGCTGTGCAGCAGGGCTTCCTGTCCCGTGATCTAGCTGGGTCTCTGGAGGTTCAGCTATGCCAGCTCTAGTGAGGTGCCCAGGAATTTGCTAAATACTCTCTCTCCTGCTTCGTGTAAACCAGGAAATCTGGGTCCCTTTACCCTGAGGTCTTCCAAGCCGAGTAGGATTAGAGCGAGAATCTGGGTGTCAGGGCCCTGGCTCTGATCTAGGAACTCGAAGCCTCTCGTGTGGCAGCCAGGACAGTGTCTGCTTCCAAGGGCCCTGGTGTCCAGGGAAGACAGTGTCCCACGGTTAAGAAAGGAAACAAGCCCGAAGTATATCATTATGTTAAAGGCTCGGAAAGAGATAAAATGTTGTTTTCTTAAGTTAACTGTGGAATCCTCCCCCACCTTTTTTCTTTGCCACTGCTGACTTGTAACATGAACATGAGCATACCAAGAAAGGAATAATTTTAGAAGTGATGTTATAGTCCTTTATTTATTTATTTTTAAAGATTTATTTATTTATAAATACCGAAAACTGGGATACAGACCTGAGGGGTAGGGGCAGTGAGAGGATTCACCAGCAGAACAGGTAGATCCGTGAAGTACAGTGCTGAGGAGAGCAGCGGGCGAGAGAGGAGAGGTCTGCTGTGCCATATGCATCACCTCTGGCCCCGGGGATCGAACTCTGCACTGAAGAGTCTGCAGCCAGCTTGCAGGGCTGTGTCCTAACTCGTTGCGCCACCAAGGAGGGCCCTATAGCCCATAATTTTTACTGGGAGGAAGACAAGGACCGGAGAGGGAAGCCATCCACTTAGGAGTCCCAGTGTCAAGAGCCCAGGAGGAACAGAGAAGTCAGGGGCATTGGAGTGAGAGACCTGCCTTTGAACCCCTGCTCTCGAGCTTTCTAACTGTGAGACCTTGGACAGTATTTCAGTTTCTTTTGAACCTTGGTTTCTTAAATTTGTTAAGATAAGCAGGGTTACTGGCACCATGGAATTGTTACAAATTAAATATTTTATTGGTTTGGGAGTTAGGATAGAGAAGCCCACAGGAC